TAATCTTTTGTTACTTTTATAACAAAATACTTTACAAAACTAGCATGTATATTCATATGTAAGCCATGCCCAAACGTTTGTTTTGGTATGTTCCTAATTTTTAAAAGATTTTTTTTTTAAAAATCATTTATGTCCCAATTAGCGTACAAAAATCGAGAATTATCACAAAACGCTATTCAATTTGGTGAATAATTTATTTATTCCCATAATTATACCAAAATATAAATTAAGAAAATTTTTTTGTATTATTTTTTTACAAATTTATTTGTATTTAAAACAAATGCATAAATTGCAATTATAGCCCATCTTTAACATTAATAGCATTTTTTTTAAAATTGTTAAAAATTAGTCCCAGATTATTAATTAAATTTTATTTACTATTAATTGGCTCAGTACTTTCAATTTGCTTTTAAAATCATCTTTACAATTTTTTATAAATAAAAAGGAGAAAAAAAAAAACCGGCTCATTTAACATTACCTCATTTATTTCAATTAACAGGCCTATTTTACATTTCAATTTTTGCCCTAAATTGACCCAATTCTACCCCCAATTAACCAGCCCAATTTTATTTTTACCCGGCCCCCGGACCCAATTTTTTAAAATCCGCCCGGTTTCCTATTATTGATCCAGGCCGTTAATCATTTTGACGAATCAAACGCCAAATAAACCTCCTACCTTTTGAACCCTGAAAACGAACTACCATAATCCCTAAATCACTCTGATAGCCGCCTTTGAAACCCCCTCGTCTCTCGAACACTCTCAAAAACTCTTCGGAACCTAGCCTCCTCTACCTTATTTCACCGAACTTCAACCGGGAATCCATGGCTTCTCAGGCCATGGATGTATACTCACGCTCCCGCCACCATTTAAACCTAAGGTTGTTTTAAAAAGCGTCGAGGACCTGACTCGACAGTTCTCTTTCAGATCTTTCTCAGATCTTGGTTCGGTAGGCCTCTCCGGGCTTTGCTCCGGAATTCAAGCTCGGGAGCCTGATTCCTGACCTCTTCAACTCAGGATCTGAATTCTCTTCCCAAGTCTTTCTCATTTCTAGGGTTTCTCCGACAACCCTAAGACTTATTCGAGTTCTTTCCCTGTTGTGCTTAATCTATGATTGTATCTATGCTTTACTTGACATTTAAAGTGTTTTCCCCAAATTTCCTTTTCAAAATAGTTTGTCTTCGATTTAGGGTTTCTGAAAGGATTTTACAAAAAAAATCTTTCTGTTCTTCTTCTTCTTCTTTCTTTTCTTTATGTGTGTTTGTCTATATCATGCTCGTGTGATTTCTTCTTACTACGCATGTACTGTCTTTCTACTTTTCTTTTCTAAAAAAATGTTAATCCTGTGCTCATATGTTAATCCTTGTTATGTTTTCTTTACTCTTTTACTATATGTGTTTACCGTTGAGTCCTTCGATTTTTGTTTTACTAAACTTTTTCGTGTTCTTGCTAAATATGTTTCATCTACTTTTGTTTAAGTTTGTATCACCTCTTTCTTCTGAACTTGTTTAAGTTTCGAGTTTTCTCAGACATGTTCTTCATGATCTTGAGTCAGCTCTCTTTCTTTGTATCATGTCTGTTTGTTTCTCATAAGTCTCCTGAAAGAGACCTCTGAGTCTGTTTTAAAACGACTCGCCTTCTCATCTCTATGCCTGATTCGATTTGAAACCCCAGTATTTAGGTTTCCTTGGCGATTTTGATTTGTGTTCGAGTTAGGGTCCACTTTGGGACCTGGACTCTCAGACTCATTGTGAGTCCACAAACTGAACTTGTATCCCTTTGCTTATGACTCTGACCTTTCAAGTTAGACTATTTTTCTAAGTAACATGACGACTCTTTTATTTGATTTGTCTGCTTTATATATGAGAAGTTTCTTCTTTCAAAAGGGTTTTGCCAACTACTAATTGATTCTTGAATTCCTTTAATGGGATCTAATTGATTGTTACTGATTTCCTTTAAATTAAACCTTTCTTTGCCCCTTTCCTGACTTGGTTTCATTCGAGTAAAGCCTGTAACTTCTATTTTACTAGCTGTTGATTGATTCCCTTTCCCTTATTTTCCACAAACCGTGTACCATTGGACTTTTGCCTTAAATAACTTCTATGTATTTACCCTTTATTGTACTGCTTGGGAAATAAATTTCTGATTAACTCTTTCCTTAATTGTCTTTTACCCGTTGGAAATTAGAATCCCTTAATTAAAGGGAGATTGATTTCAATGTTATTTCCCTACCTTTTCTTACTTGTTTTCTGCACTATAAAAGGGGCACGACCCTTCTGCACTTACAGACCTGGAACCTTCAGTTCAACACTTTCTACTTATATTACTCACACACTTACAATACTTCTTTGAGTTCAATACTCGAGCATTCATTACTCACTTGCAATTTCAACATTCTCTTCTTTTCTGAGATCTTTTGGAACTGTTTGCTTGACAACTTGGCTTTTCAAGACTACGGTTTTACTTGTTTGTTTTCCCTGAAACTGGTATGTTCTAATTTAACTTTCTGCCTCACCCCTATGTGTTTACTTTATAGTTTCAACATTCTTGTTTACTTTGCTGTTCATGTTCTGTAATTGAATATGCTACTTTCTCTTTGCATCTGCTGTTTGTTATGAATTTCCTATACCCCCACTCCATTCTATGTGTTTGAGTTAAGGTTCATGGCCTGACAGCATCCAAGTTGCTGCTTAGCTCTGAACCTGATCCTCAGTGGATCCTAACTCCCAACTTTGGCTAACAGGATGGTCAGGGGTGTGCCAGCACTCCTAATTGCTGGGCATGACCACCAGCCTGCCATGGCCTTCCCTAATTTCCCTCTATGCACTTACACTTACTCCTAGACTTTAAGTTCTACCCCCCTCCTAAGAGCCTTGCTTTGGGACCTTGAGTTCCTCCTGCACTTGGACATTCGAGGGCTAGCCCTTCCACACTGCACTATAATCTAATTCTGCAATGTATTTGGGGTGTAAGCACTTCCCGGAGTCCCCTTGAGGCTCTTGGGAACTTTGACACATCCCAAATAAGAGAAAGGCTTTGGAAATCTGATCCTGGAAGTGGGTTTATTTCATATTGTTAGACCTTGAGTCTGAATTAGGCTGTTTGGTTGTAGCTTAAATTTCTGATGTAATTTTATTTTTTTCTGATTCATTTTGGTCTGTAATATTTTGTAATAACTTATGGGGTTCTGCTAGAAAAGAGGAGGGTCATTTATGTATGCATATGGGTAGACAGCATGCTCATAGGAATTACTATTCTGCACTTATGCATATCATATAGAAATCCTGCCTATAAATTGCTTCGTTGCTGTCATGTAGAAATCCCGCCTATAAGTTGTTGCATCAATACACATAGAGACCATGCCAATAAGTTCTGCACTTATACATTCGTGTAGAAATACTGCCTGCCTATAAGTTGTTATATTACTACATTAGAAATCCTGCCTATAAGTTGTTGCATCAATACATATAGAGACCATGCCTATAAGTTTCTGCATATAGAAATCATGATTATAGGTTTTCTGCACTTCTGCATATACATCTGTCATCAGGCAAACAGTCTCTAGGTTAAAATAATAACAAGTTGCATCCTAGATACCATGCCTATAGGATTCTTGCATCCCGATAATCGTTTTTAAAATCAATAATGCTTAGAAATCATGCCTATAGGAGCAGCCGTTGGAATCTGATTCGGCTATTTCATCTATAAGTCTAAAATCAGTAGCAATGTTGTTTAATATCTGCAGAATTTAGTTGGTTCTAAAATCAGTAACCCTTCTTTAAAAATCAGTATACTTCCACCTAGGCAAGCCGGTGGGTAATTGATTAACTGTGTCAGTCCTTAATAAAGTACAACCAGACAAGGCCTAACTCGGACTTCTCATCTGAGAAATATATGATAAAACAGCCTGTCCTAACGCTAAATTTAATTCAGACTAAAACTAGTATCTGAA